TTGAAAAATATTAAATAGGACCTTAATAAATGGAAAGACATCCCCTGTTCATGGATTGGAAGACAATATTATTAAGATGACAATACTCAAATTATTCTATGGATTCAATGCAATCCCTATCAAAATTCCAACTGCATTTTTTTTTTTTTGGCAGAAATGAACGAGATGATCCTAAAATTCATATGGAAATTCAAGGGACCCAGAATAGCCAAGGCAATCTTGAAAAAGAACTAAGTTGGAGAGTTCACACTGACTGATTTTAAAACCTACTACAAAGCTACATGACAGGGTGGTACTGGCATAAGGGGAGACATATACATCATGGATTAGAAATGAGGGTTCAAAAATAAATCTGTACATCTATGATCAACTGGTTTTTGACAAGGGTGGCAAGACCATTTAATAGAGAAAGAATAGTTTCAACATAGTGCTGGAACAACTGGATAGCCACATGGAAAAGAATGAATTTGAATTCCTACTTCATATCATATATAAAAACTAACTCAAAATGGATCAAACATCGAAATGTAAAAGCTGAATCTACAAGACTTGTGGAAGAAAATATAGGTGTGTATCTTCATGAGCTTGGATTAGACAATAGTTTCTTGGACATGACACCAAAAGCATAAGCTACAAAAAAAAAATTAGGTAAATTGGATGTCATCAAACTTAAAAACCATTTTGCATCAAAGGACACTATCAACAAAGTAAAAAGACAACTTATGGAATTGGAGAAATTATTTTTAAATCACATATCTGATCAGTGTCTAGTATCTAGAATATATAAATTTTACAACTCAACAATAAAAATATAAATAACTCAATTAAAAATGGACAAAGGATTTGAATAGATACTATGTCAAAGAAGATTTATCTATAGCCAATAAGCACATGAAAAGATGCTCAGCATCATTAGGCATCAGGAAAATTAAAATCAAAACCACAATGAGATACCACTCTACACCAAGATGGATACAATTTAAAAAGTGAAAATTAAGTGTTGGCAAGGATATGGCTTGCCATTAAAAAAAAAATTGCTGGTGCAAATGTAAAGTGGTGGAAAACAGTTCCATCAAACAATGCAGCCGCTGTAGAAAACTTTGGTAGTCCCTCAAAAAGTTAAATAGAGTTACCATATGACCCAGCAATTCCAGACCTAGGTATATACTCAAGAGAACTGAAAACAGGTATTCCCACGAAAACTTGTATACAAATGTTCATAGCACCATTATTCAAATAGCCAGAAAGTGGGAACAACCTAAATGTTCAACTGATGAATGGATAAACAAAATTTTGCATATCCACACAACAGAATATTATTCAGCCATAAAAAGAAATGAAGTTCTGATACATACTATGTAAATAAATCTTGAAAACCTTATGCTACATAAAATAAGCCAGACACAAATTGTCAAATATTGTATGATTCCACTTACATGAAATATCTACAATAGGCAAATTTATAGTGACAGAAAGTAGATTAGAGGTTACCAGAGTCTAGCGAGGGGGAGAGTGGGGAGTTATTGCTTAATGGGTAGAGTTTCTGTTTGGGGTGATGAAAGTGTTCTGGAATTAGTGGTGATAGTTGCAAGCCTTGTGAATATACTAATAACCACTGAATTGCACACTTAAAATTTCGAATTTTATTGTATGTGAATTATATCTCAATTAAGGAAAAAACCGCTTAGTCTAAAGAGAAATTCTGCTCTGTTGCCAAAATACATGTTATTAAAAGGAAACATTTGAAATTCAAGGCATATCTTGATTTGTGAAAAATCACACACCTAGTTGATTTAAAAATGCTCCTTTTAAAAAACACAATTATAAATAGACAGTAAGGTAAGCCCTTCTGAAGCTTATACTTATTACACATATATTTATACTTGCCTTATTTCATAGGTTTCTGCTTCATGGAATAAAAGTCAAGCAAAAGAACATAACTTTCACTAGACAATGGATTGCGCAGAAATGTTAGGTTTCAAAATTGGAAACTGCAGCAAATTCTTGAGGCATGAACACATGTTTAAAAATCACTTTACCAAATGTGTAGATCAGTTGGTAAATGACTCAGTTACAGAAGGCATCACAATCTAGTTACTCTAGGCCTGGAAGCCAAATGATCGGGGATGCCATCCTGGCTTTGTTGCCTATCTTGTTTCTATTTCTTCATCTGTAATTGAGGTGGTTGGAATTAAGGTTCCTTCTAGTTTTAAAATTCTGAACTTATTTGATCTTATTGTGACTTTATAGTTAAGTGTTTTAAGATATTTTACTTACTTGGACTGCATTAAAACATTCACATTTAAAGTTAGTAAATTATTATTGGACTACAAGATTTGAAAAGGATTAAATTTGTCTACTCAATGTTTAATAAATTGGACCAACTGATCTCATTCGACTGAGAATTAGTCTGAAGCAATAACACCACCTGGTGGCTTCTCTTCAAATATGACAACTTTCTTGAAGATGATAATTTGGCTATTTTAGGTAACAAGTTTAATATTACATGCTATATATTTAACTAATGTTTATGGCATTGGCCTTAGGAACTTATAATTCAACAAATATTTGTTTAGTGCCCAAGTACAATATAGAAAACAATATAAACAAAAATACTTCTATTCATAAGTGTTACATTCTAGTAAGAGAAAGTAGGCAATAAATAACAAGAGTAAGAAGTAAAAAAATTATATGGAAGTTGTATTCAAAAATCAAGATAAGGAGGATGTTGAGTAGGTTGCAATTTTAAATATATTTGAGCAGACTAGAAAGAGGTGAAATCAATTCTACATGCCTGTCAAGATATAATTCCATAGACTTACAATCTAAATATTTAATTTTAATTCCAGCATGCTGCTATAATTCTGCTTCCTCACTATGAAATGGTAGTTATTTTTTCACCACCTTAACGTGACATTCACACATTTAAAGTTGTGTTCCTATGGAAGTAAGAAGTACTCTAGTCTTAGAATTGAGAATTAAGAGAAGGCAGAAGGTGGAGGTGGGATGTAACTGCCAACATAGATAAATTTCCCTAGGCTGCTTATGGCTTGTTATTTGTAAATTTGTCTCAACACTTTTTGAAGCCATTTTAATTTTCTGTACCTTTGGGTTAATGAGTGCCTCTAAAAGTTAGACATTTTGAGAGCAGAGACTTTTAGAATATTTAAGTATAGCATAAGGCCTTGAACATAGTAAATGATCAGAAGGAAGTTATTTGTACAAAATCTACTTTAGAAAAATTGTAAAGAGAAACACCTTATTTTAATATTTTGAGATTTTTCTTAAGATCAAAGGTTTTCGTGAATGGTAAAGAGGTTTGTTTTTTTCTTTTTGATGCATGCCGGAAATTAAATCGGACCTTCACAGACAAAGCAAAGAATGGGTAAATTTTCAAAAATTAAGTTCTTGATCAAATTGCCTAAAGAATTTTTATCACTATTATTTCCACAGTGACTTGCAACTAGGTGCTTAATACACATTATTAAAGGCTGAAATGCTATCTAATATTAACAATGTTTTTCAATTTGTGTATGGCACTTCACTTTACACAGCATCCTCACATACATCTCATTTGCTTATTTGGCTCAGAATATACAGTATGAATATAAAATTTAAAGCATATCTTTCCTTTTGGTTCTCCTTTAAGGGGAATCTATTTTCAGGAACCTACGTGTATTGTACTGGAAACATAAATTTGATATGGGCACAAGTTTGAAGAAGCAATGGCCAAGATGTGCCAAGTGGTGGCAGCTAATCTTGACGAAGAGACTGGAGAGGGATGAAGAAAAGGTGATAAAGGTCAGTGGAATCATAGCAAGCTGAGGTCCAAGAGTTGGAAAATATAATGCTTAAGCCTTTAAAAGGTCTTTAAAAGGTCTAGGTGGTTAGGTGAAGAGTTGCTCAACACTCTTCTTCTCAAGCAACAAAACAAAACAAATCAGAACAATTAAACTTTTCTTTGCAAGAGAAAATGTCTGTGAACTTAAGATTTGGGAGCAGAAAGGGGAGACGAGAGCAATAGGCGAATCTAGTTCAGTGCTTAGGCAAGCTGAAGAAGTCTGAAGATTGAAGTCAAAAACAAAAGAGAAAAAACAGGCCGTCCATACACTTCTATTGAATGGATGAAAATATCTATTATAAATAAAAATAGTAAAAATTATATTTGGAAGGAGACCCAAGAAAGTGTTATCAATTGTTTCTTCTAGGCAGAGCTGCGGGATTGGGGACTAGGGATAGGTTTACTTATCTGTGTATCTTCATTAATTTTTAAGAGATCATGCTCAACCTTTTAAAAAATTAAGAGTTTAGGAGAATCTCTTCTCCCCATCTTCCTACTGCCGCTTCTTTCCTCCCACATTTCACTGTCAAAACGTACGCTACTCCTAAGAGACGACCCTCGGGTGAACAGGTCTCCAGCCCAAATCCCCGTGGCCAGGACCAGCCCGTGAATACTGCGGATCATGGAGTCAGGTGGAAGAAAGGGGGAAGGGCCGCTAACACCGACCGTGCAGGCCACTGAGACACCAAAATCGCCAGTTACGGCCTTAAGTGTAAGGTGGCTCAACACTGGTGGCAGGGAGGATGGTCTTCCTATTATTATTACGTAGTCCTAGTGCCTTATCAGAGAAAGCACCCAGGTAAAGCTTGACCGCGCCCGCAGGTCGCTTCGGGACCAACTACTCTCGCGGCTCCGCAGCCTGCGCCCACGTCCAGTCGGGCTGCCGCATCCAAACCCGACTCGCATTCTTGGTTAGCGGATTCGCCACTTTTTGATGTCAGAATTTAAAATGAAAACCCAAATTTCCCTGTTTCGGAAGCCCTTTCTTTCAAGAAAACAAAAGCAGGAGAGATTTGGGTCCTTGACTTTTTTTTCTCTCTCGGGCTTCCATAGTATCTACACCCAAGAGCGCCGGGGACTTGGTGTCGAAAGCGACGACGCGGACGCACAGGCCGCCATTCCTGCGCGCAGTCGCGGCGGCCGCTTGTTCCCGCTCCCGCCCCCACCGCCCCCGCCGGGTGTCCGACGTGGAAGTTGCTGGCTGACTAGGCTTCTAAGGAAACGGCCTCCGACCGGGAGCCGGAGCCGGAGCCCGAGGCCAAGGCGAGCGGAGGCGGCGGCACCGGGGCTTGAATAAGAGTTACTGCCGAGGCCGGGGCCTGTCTCTGACAATCGACGAGGGCAGACAGGCGGTTCATCATGGGTGAGGGATCTGAGAAGGGCGCTTGGGCGCGTTTGAGGGGGCTGCGGCCGAGGGCTGGCGTCGTGGGGAGGAGAGGGGCGGGCTTGGGAAGTCCAGAGTAGCCAGCTTCTCCCGGGGCGTGGCGCTTCACCTGTGGGGGTGAACTCTGCTGCCAGTGGTCACTCTGGCCCTTCTCCTTTCCCTTTCATCCCAGCGAGGTCGGGGTGGGGGCGGTGGCCTGGGACCCCGGCCCCGAGTCCTTTCCCCTGACCATGAACTTCTCCATCTCCGACTCAGATTAGCTCGACTTGCTGGGCAGAGTTGGTCTTGAGAAGAAGCTTGGCAACATGCCAGTCGAGGTTCGCTGAGGTTTCTTGGGTAAAAGATAAGATCTGACTCCATAGTGAAAGCTTGATTCCCTCTCCCCTTGGTCGCTGGGACTGCATGCATTTAAAAAATCCAAGGAGAGGTGTTGCTCATAAATTTTGATTTATAGCCAACTTGTCTGTTTATCTGTATGTAGCTTTTCGTGTAGAGAGAATAGAATAAGATAGAGAAGGAAACGGGAAGGGCGTTACTGGTCATTGAATGAAATTTTAATCTCAAATTTTGGAGTGTTGATCGAGGGAACTACATCGTCATCACAAGCATCGGGTACAGCTTCCTTCCCCGCTAGAGCCTCAAATGAAGGTGCAAATTCTTTAACTTGTTTACAACCCTCCAAATGAAGATGGAAATTCTTCGGGTAGTGGGCGATCATACTAAGGTATCCACCACAGTCTCTTGAGTAGGGAGTGAGCTCCATGAGGGCATTGGTCATATTTCTCTTGTTCTTTCGTATATCTTCTGTGCTTGCTTGATATGGTATCTAGGACATGGTAACAATAATTACTTGTTTGATGTTGAATAATATCTTTCAGTGGGGGCAAAAATCTGCATCTATGAATCGAAGAAAATATTATAATATTTAATTTGGTATAGTTTTCAAAGGGCAGATTAAATGTTTTGTGGACCTAGTTCACAAAATGGTATTTAATACATTTTTACTTTTACTATTTTTTTTAGGTGGTTTTTTCTCAAGTATATTTTCTAGTCTTTTTGGAACCCGAGAAATGAGGATTTTAATTTTGGGATTAGATGGAGCAGGAAAAACTACAATTTTGTACAGATTACAGGTTGGAGAAGTCGTTACTACTATTCCTAGTAAGTGTTGGTGTGATAAACTAATTATAGGGACTTTTTGTTTCCCATCTAACATGACTTTATTTCTGAATTAATACTTCATGTAATAAATGAAATAAGGTTTGTAAACTTGTAGTATGAACATATTATTGGTAACACTTTTTTTCATAAACTGAGAGGCAATTCGGTGTAATTTATGAACCCTGGTGCACTGCTAGGGTTTGCTTTTTAGAGCTGTTTTAAAAATTAGCTAGAGGTAAACCACTTATTCTCATTGCGAGCCAATGTCTTTCTTAATAAAATGAAAATTATCCACTGGCTTTGAGGGTGAAACAAGTGAAGCGTATAAAATACTTTGTAAACCTCTTTAAAGAATTATATAAAATGTTAGTGATATTGCATGTGAAGTGTGTTTTTTCTGTATTCGTTGCTGTATATTTTAAGATTAGTTCCTCTTAAGTATTTCTGTTACTTGTAAATATATGAGATGAATAGACTGAATATTGAATTGATTTGGTACCTAAAAATATCAAGAGAAGAAACATCTCAGCTTTAAATTGGTTATTGCTATTTTAGAAAAATATTCTCAAATAGTCCTGTTTGACTACTTAAGAATACTGTTCTGTTATTTACACTTTTTCTAATTTGTTGACTTGAATTTACTTAGAGAAGATTAATATATTTAAACTAAGATTAAGTGTTCAGAGTTTTCTCGAGTATTTAAATTATACCTCTAAAGTTACTCTTTTATTCAAGATATTTCTATATTCAGTAGTATTTAAATTTATAAATTAAAAAAAAGGCTAGTTTTTATGAAAGAAGAACTTTTAAAACTTTGTGACATCTTTTCTCTCTTTGCCACCTTCCATAAATTTTAGTTCCCTTGGTTTTTGCTTCTCAAAATTGCCCATCTCTGCTGTGTCTAAGGCTTGGTGGTCCCTGCAGTACGTTTAGCCCAGTAGATTGCATCTCAGTGAATGTTAATTACACCACACTCTTGTCCTTTGCATATAAAGTGTTTCTAATTGTGGTGAAGATGGTGATTACACTCCTACCTAATCCTAAGGGAGACATCATGAACTTTTTAATTTTTCACTCCAGTTTGTCACAGTATAGTTATTTTTTAGTTATAATAGGCATGGTAGCCATATACAAATATGAATCATTTACCAATATAGACTTAAATCTAAAACAAATATTAATTGTTCTGTTATAGCTGTTAGTTTTTACCAAGATTTTTAAAAATTTATTTATTTTAATTAGTTTCAAGTATACAGTACATTGGTTAGACATCTATATAGTTTGTAAAATGATCCCTCCAATTTCTCCCTCCCTCCCCTGACCCTCAACCTAGCCAATGTATTAATGCTAACTGCATTCCCTATGCCGTGCTCCCCATCCCCGTGACCATCTATCAGCTACTAATTTGTACTTCTTTAACCCTTCTCCCCATTTTCCCAGCCCCCCAAAACCCCCTCCCTTCTCTCCATCACCAAATTATCCACTATATTTGTGTCTGTTTTTGATTAATTTTTTCTTTTTATTCCTTATATTCCACATATAAGTGAATTCATATAGTATTTATTTTTCTCATTCTGACTTTAATACCTTCTAGGTCCATCAAAGCAATATGTTTTTCCATCCCCTTCCTTTTAGATTGTGTGTCTTTTAATCTGAAGTGAGTATCTTATAGGCAACATCTAGGGGTCTTGTTTTCCTTTCCATTTATCCACTCTGTCTTTTAGTTGGAGCACTTAATTTTTTTCCATTTGAGGTACTTATTGATAGGAATGTAGTAGTTACCATTCTTTATTCCTGTTTTTGATACATGTTTTTTCTTCTAATAGAAGTCCCTCCAACATTTCATGTAATACTGACTTGGTAAGGATAAATTCCTTTAGCTTATTTTTGTCTGGGAAGCTCTTTATCTGTCTTTCAACTCTAAACGATAGCTTTGCTGGATAAAATATTCTTGGTTGTAGATCCTAGGTTTTCATCACATTGAATATTTTGAACCAAGCTCTTCTGTACTGCATAGTTTCTTTTGATAAATCAGCTGCCAGTCTTATGGGTGCTCCCTTTCAGGTAACTATATGCTTTTCTTTTGCTGCTTTTAAGATTCTCTTTGCATTCAACCTTTGGCATTTTAATTATGATGTGTCCTGGTGTGGGCCTCTTTGGGTTCTTGGTTTTGGGGACTCTGAGCATCCTGGAGTTCCACGTCCATTTCCTTCATTATGTCTTCAAATAGCTGTCCAACATCTTGTTTTCCCTTGGGTACCCCAATGACACGGATATTTTTACCTTTAATAGTGTCCCATAGGCTCCTTAAGTTGTTATTATTACAGTCTTGGCTTCTTTTTTCTCTCCATTCTGATTGAGTCCTTGGTTTTCCCATCCTCTACATAGGTCATTTGATCCTCTTCTGTATTCACTGTGTTCATTCCATTTAATATTCTTCTCATGTCAGATAATGTGTTCTTCATTTCTGACTGGTTCTCTTTATAATTTCCATTTCCATTTTTATGTTTTTTATCTCTTTGTTGAAGTTTTCACTGAATTCATCTACACTTCCCATAAGTTTATTGAGCATCTTTGTAACCAGTGTTTCGAACTCTGCATCTGT